ATGAATTCTTCACTGTCATCCTCACTGGAACCAGTGGACGATGCAGCATAAACCTTTTCGGATGTAAAATCTTTAAGCATTTTCTCAGATGGAATGAAGTCTTTGCAACATTTCTTTGATATCAATAGTTCTGCTCTAATTCTGACAACTGCATCAAGAAAATCCAGTTGTATTTTGTTTCTTGCTTTTGATTTAGTTGAAGTAACAAGAGAGAATATTCTCTTAACTACAGCATTGCTAAAGGGCATTATTAAGCAAGTAAGGGCAAAAGTGGCCAACTCTTTAAATGCCTGGTGTCAAAGCACGCCTATCCAAAAATCTTCCCTGTTTGTAGGTAGTCCATCTTTTTTAAATGTAGCTTCTTCTTTCCAGTTGACAACAGTCAGTTTTCTGTACTGTTCTTCTATAATACTGATGTTGTTTTCTGCCAGGTGTAAAAATTGTAGCTCTGAAAACTGTGTCCTTGATACTTGATTTACAACTGCTAAAATAGCTCAATTTTGACAGATTTTGAAATATATTCTCGGTGGGAAGTCTACACGTAATTTGATTGAGAGCTTCTTCTAGCACAGACATACATCTTTCTTTAACATTGTTTATTTCTATCTCAGCTTCAGTCCCGTTATTCTTCTGTAGGAACGCATTACATTCCGTTAGGAATTTAATACCAAAGTCAACGTGATGAATATTTTTTTCTGCTCATTGACGTCATACAGTCTGTTCTTAAGACTCTTCTGGTGTATGCACAATTCTTGGTGTAGTTCATGAGGATCAGCTTTTTTTGTTGAAAAAAGACTGTTCAGTCTTTCAAATTCTTGTACAATTGGTGTCGCAAACACAAAGTACAAATAATCATTATGGTATAACAGCATTTCCTTTAACAATCTTACTTTATATTTTGTGTAAAACGTTGTCTGTACTAATTCAGCACATGTAAAATAAGCTTTCGATCCTTTCCAGTTCACCAACATATTGAAAATAATCTTTCCACGCACAAGCCACCTAATAGATGACAGTTTCTCAAATGGAAGAGGGGCAGTTCGTTCTGATTCAAACTCCGTAGATGTGTTCATCACTCTAAACAGTTCTTTATAGGCTTCTCATCTTAAATCACTATGACAAAACCACTGAGGTATTTCTGACAGTAAGAAACCAATATTTGATGGCAGCTTGGCAATTGCACTACAAATGCAGAGTGCTAGTAAATGGCAGATACATCTGAGCTGTACACAAAAAGGAGACACATCTTTAATTCTGTACCATACAGAGTTCTTGCATCCGACCATGTTTGAAGCGCCATCTGACGCAAAACCAATGTAATTTGTAAGACTCTGACCACACCTTTTGATTTCCTTATCAATCAAATTAAATATGTTTTCTCATGTAGCCACTTGCAAGGAAATTAAAGCAAGAAATCCAGTAAATATTTCATTTTTTATGTCACTGAAAAAACTAACTATAATGCACAAGTACTTTTGAGTGGAAACGTCAGTAGACTCATCTATAATGATGGCATATTTCTTGTTTCGAAAATCCTCAATAAGGTCATCCTTAAGTGCAGGCGATATAATATTTCTTATTAAGCATAAACATTTAGTTCTATGCAACTGTATGTGCTCCAATGTACTCCCCTGACCATGATTTCACTTAAATGATCAATTGCGCGTATTGCACAATGGCAGGTCATGCTTACAGCAAGTTGCAACTCTGCTGCCTTTAACTGTATCATTACTTTGCCTAGGAGGAATTGTTGTAATAAGCTGTGACTGGCCTTTTGACCGAGTTTTCATCCTGTGTTTTTCGGATTTTTCATGATTTGAAATGCTAGTCATTCTTGGTGCAACAGTGCACTGACACAGTTTACAATATGCTGCCTCTGATCCGTCTGAAGATCTTTTGAGCGATTTACTTGCGATTGCTGTTATAAGATGCTTTCCATTTTTTGGATAACGTGGCCATTGGTAAAAGTAATCAAATATATCACAGATAGAACTAGGTCTATATCCTATCTATTTTCTGTCCTCAAGTAGTTTCTGAACAGTCTGAATCACTTGGTATCAGTGGTGGGTTTTCGTTTTATACCTCGCATTTATTCTAGTATATTAATATAAATTACAGAGGTTTATAGCAGTCACGATCCGTTTAGGAAGACAACAAAACAATAAGAAAGGGCGCGAATCTCCGTTAGTCCGTACCAGGACATCACAACAAAGTCAAACTAAAATAAAGATTTTAACTGTTGGTTTACATTGCTTTTAGTAAATTTGCGTGTTTATAACAGCGGAACCATGAAGAAAATGTGAGCACATCTTGATAAGAAATGCCAGGAAAACCCCAAATATGCCCGTTCCATTATCTTATGCCGGTTCAATTAAAAATATGCCAGATTTGTGGAATCTGGCATAACAAATGCCAATATGGAACCCTGAAGTCGACTTTTACGACATGCTTTTGGGTAGGCAGTGGGTCTATTCTTGTTTTCCCAACAAAAGAGTCCCGGAACCCACACGGGGAAAATATACTTCTTTTTCTACTACTTATTCTTCTTCATCATCTTCTTCTTCTTCACGTTCACCGGCTGTAAGCTCTACAACAGGGCACCCCAACCCACACAGGGATAATATATATATTGAAGAAGGCCTTGTCTGGAACATGAGAAAGGGACAGAAGTAATTTGTGACTACTAAATACGAAAAAAAAAAAGAATAATTGTGGAAGACTTTTCCTAATGTGCTCTGATCTCACTAGTCACACTCGCTATCGCCATAGGTTGTGAGTCCCGAGCTTGTTTATGGCACAATATAATATTATTGTCTGGAAAGACAGAAAGCTGCAAACAACATAAGAAGAGAAAATCGAGAACATTTAATTTCTGGACCGATGCACGTAGCCATAGAAAAAAGGAATAAAAACGGAGAAGATTCTTAAAAGCTTTTTTTTTTTTTTCATAGCGCGTGAAGATATCAGAACAGGTAATGATACACATTGTAGGATATCTTTAGATGCTGAGATGCGCGATCGTCCACGTGAATTGACAAAGCTCTGGCAGGCATCTCAAAGTTGTTTCATTCCCTCAGTACATTACATTTGCCCATTCCTTTTCCGGTTGACGATTTACAGCCTCCATGGCAACCACAATGTCTTTTCTCTAGTGTTGACGAGGAGTCAGTCATTCAGTTTGAGTAGGCTGATTACATTGGAAGACCAGTTAAAGGTGTTAGATTTTGAAGATACTGACTAACCAAGGTGATATTTCTGCTTTCGCTGAAATATGTAAGTAAATATATATTTACTGTTCAGTTTGTTTTGAACGAAGACGCTCATTAATAATTTATAATAATTAATAATAATTCAAATTCAACTTAAATTCTGTTTCAGTTACTATAAAATATAATTTTATTTATCAAATAATTTAATCATATTAATGTAATAATCGATAATGACTAATGAGTAGGAATGCTAGTGAGTATGGTTTTATATCTTCTTTCTTCTTTTGACGTCTCACTAGTACCAGGTTGTAGCCCAATGTCGTAGTTTTCTGATTTGTATTTGTCCTCGCTTCTCGGGGGGCTGGGGTGATAGATTTATCCATCTTTTTTTTTGCAGGTCTTTGCTATACCATTTATCCAACTCTTTCTTGGTCTTCCTTTTGCCTTCCTCCCAGATTTTCTGCTGTAAAAAAGTCTCATATGCAGTTTCGTCACCTGTTTTCTGCCTGTGGTATCTTGGGTCATTTTATATTCCTTAATTTCACTTGTTACTGTCTTTTTCCAGGTTTTCTTAGGTCATTTTTATCTCCTGGGTTTTCTTTGGGTGCTTTTTTCTTACATTTAATTCCTGCTTTTTTTTTCTCCCAATCTCACTGTTGTTTAATGAAAACAGTTATTACCTTCATCTTCTTTCTCTGTGTTTATCCAAATATGTAAATGTATTGTTCCCATTTATAACATGGCTGTGATATTTCCACCTTTTGACCAACACATTCAACTTCTAAAGGCATTTCTACCCTGGTTAGCCTTACCATTGTTATTATTAAATTTCAAATAATATGAAATGTCTAAACACTTATTTCAAAACAGAATGTCTGTACATGGTTAGGAGGACCACCTATACCCCTCAACAATTGTTCTAGATTGTATGTCAATGTGAACATATCAAGTAAGTGAAAACAAATAAGAAAATAAGGATAAAGATGCAATAGGGGACAACAATATTTTAATCATTAAGCAAACCTACAAATGTGTGTGCAGGGATATTTTATTTAACCTATTTTGAATGCAAACCCTTTTTTCCCCAGGACCACCACAAACAAAAATAAAAATTGAGTCATGTATTTGTGAGAATTTGTAAAAAAACTCATTTAAAAGCAACACACTTATGCAGTTCACTAATAAATTTGTAAAACATTTACTTATCTAATTTGTAATTGTTTTGTCAATATATAAAGACATACAAAAGAATTAATCAATAAAGATGAAAAGAATTAAGTGGAACACATTCAGGTTTTCTCAGAAACAGGCCATTGAAGTTTCTGGATCTTTATGGGGATATGTCAGTGACGAAAAGTCTCATTCTGGACTTCCCAGGGTGACAGGTTAACTGAAGCAGTGACTCATTGGGCTACCATGACAAAACACATTTTTTTTTAGTTTTTGAAAGCAGATAGAAGAAAGTAATCACAGATGCTTCTTGAAATATTTAAAGGTATTAAAGATGTGACTACATAAATTGACATATACTGTTGAAGATACAAAATGTGGAAAAGCAGATTCGTCCATGTTCGTTGCAGGGCAGTTAATGATGATGATGATTGAACTTAAACAAATTATACATTCAATCAACAGTTAAGGAAAAGATACAACAGACAAGCTGAAAATATTGTGATGATTAGTGGTAAATATTGTGAACATTTTCCCTTCACTCTATCAGCTAGACAGTGTCATCTAACAACTGCTGGGACTACCAATATCGTTCAACATCACAGAGAGAGAGAGAGAGAGATGGAAGAAGAACAGAGTAAGAATCAATTTCTTCCTAAGATTCCAGTCAAGTCGCCTTGGTCATCATACTCATATACAAAGTAAGCTATATGAATAGATGATAGAAGTACAGAATGCACTTCAAATGTATATTCAAAATTAAATATTTATCTGTTAGACTTTCACGGTGATCACATAGTTAATCATATACTTCTGCAGTGCAAAAGTCGTCCCCATGTGGGATGCAATTTTTTGTTATTTGAAGCCCCACCCTGGCTTCTGCCTGGGGCCCTGAATATAACCGGGCAATAACAGCTGAAAGGGGTTTCTGGGACCTCTCCACGGGTAATCCTCATACGCATGATTGCACTTTGTGTCACTGGGTGTTTACCCCTTGTGTGATGTCCTGGTGGGGTACAACTACCTATCTTCTTACCTTCTGCAGTGAGACAAGAAACAAAGTGACTTGTTTATTTCACTTAAAAGTATTCTATGTTTTGTGCTTCATTATATGTTTATGAAAGAAGTGTTGCCTGATGACTGGACTGAAGGAACAATAGTCAAAAAAGGAGACTTAACAGACTGCATTAATTGGAGGGGAATTACTCTACTCTCAGTACCAAGCAAAATATTTTGTAAAATCATCATAATGCGGGTTGAAAAAGGAGTAGATAAATGCCTACGAGTGGAACAAGCAGGATTAAGAAAGGGCAGAGGAACAACTGAGCACATCTTCGCCATACGTAACATTTTAGAACAATGCAACGAATGGCAGAAAAGTATGTATATTAATTTTGAGGACTTTGAGAAAGCTTTTGACAGCGTTCATAGAGACGGTCTGTGGAAAATGTTACGACATTATGGAATTCCAGAAAAAATAGTCAATATAATTGCTGTCTTCTATAAAGACTTTTCCTGCAGTATAAAAAATTACAATACATCTTTCCCAGTAAAGACAGGTGTAAGACAGGGATGTGTTATGTCATCTCTCCTCTTCAACCTTGTGATTGATTGGATACTAAAGAACACAGTAGACAGGACATTAAGAGGCATACGATGGACTCCATTCACCATGCTTGAGGACCTTGATTTTGCAGATGATATAGCACTCCTATCACATAAACATGAACATATACAAGAGAAAAGTAACAGACTAAACTGCACAGCAGAAATGGTGGGACTGAGAATAAATACAAAGAAAACTAAGATCATGACAAACAGTCCAAACCAACAACCAGTGACCATAAGTAACCAATCACTCGAAAATGTAGAACATTTCACATATCTTGGCAGTGTAGTGTCCCTACTGGGAGGGACCGAAGAGGACATACAGTCACGTCTGAACAAAGCTAGAGCAGCTTTTGGAAAGATGAGGCAAATCTGGAAATCCACATGGAGACGAACGATGGAAAGTGACGTGAGTGCGGCATCTTTGACATGGAAAACTGCACTGAAGATTGCACAGGACAGGAAAGCATGGAAAGTCCTCTCTGAAGCCTCATGTGCCACTAGGCATAACGAGAACTGATATGTTTATGAAAGCTCTGGAGTAATCATTATCAAGTGCCTTGCCGACTGGCATAAGTGATCATGCCTCTCCACTGTCTGTGATCTGCAACTGTCTGTATCAGTTTATGTGCTGACACCCCTCCATGCCATGACTAAGGACTGTCAAAAATCTTCTCAAACTGTCTTTCTCTGTCTCTCTTTCCACAGATCTTTCCTGTGGTCACAACATGTTCCATTTGCCCTCTTCTCAGAACATGACCAAAAAATAATGACTGTCCCCTTCTGGTGTTTGTGATAAGTTGTCTTTAAGCACTCACCTCTTTCAAAACGTCTGGGTTGCTCTTCTTAGCTGTCCACAATATTCTAAGGATTTTTTTTCTCCAAAGCCTCAAGATATTGTTCAGCTTGTTTATTAATTGTACAGGCTTCAGAGCCGTATGTTAAAACTGGCTCTGTATAACATGCAAGAATTCTTTTCCTAACCACCAATGACATGGATGTATAACACACAAAAATGTTCTCCATTTTGTAAAATGCAGTTTTGGCTTGTCCTATTCAATTCTTTTTCTCTGTGATTCATCTTCCATCGGATGTTACTAATGCACCTAGATACTTAAATTTGTGTACTTATCCTAAAATAACATCTTTGATACTTTTTATTCATTTAGGCACTATTTTTTACTCTGAAATCACCATTACTTCTTTCTTTCCATTATTCAAATTGAGACCCATTTTATCTACCACCACTGTATCTATCAATTCATGTAGTTCTTTCTGACCTGTCGCTATCGAAACGATGTCATCAGCATAACGCAAGTTATTTGTATTATGACTATCACCCACAATTCCTGGCATATCCAAGATAGATCTCATTATATATTCACTCTATAATGAAAACAAATCAGGTGATAGTACGCATCCTTGTCTAACTCTCCTCTTTATGCTCTGAAATGTTCCAAACTGGGTAATGCACCTGATAAAATACACTGAAAGGTGCTAGGCAATAAATCAAGCAATGTCTTCTCTCTGTATTTACTTTATTTAAACTCGCTGAGAAAGGTGAAGACAAGGATGCTTCGAGCAGTGTGGCAAGCTTCACTGGAAAGATCACTTTGGATCTTTTCTCCTGGTCATGCCGGCATGGTGGGTAATGAACAGGCAGACAAATTGGCTGGATCTGCACCACTGGGTAGTGAACTGATGCGTGACAGGGCAGATGTTGTCAAGGCCCTTTGGGAACAAGTAATGGAATCAGTGGAGAAACAAGGTTATTATGGCCTGGAGAGAATGAGGCACCTGAGTGTAACCAGAGGGTTTGGCCGACTCACTACACTCAGAGGAAAGGAGAGATGGACCTATAACCAGATTGTGACCGGTACCATCAGTATTAGAACTCTGCACTGGTTGCTGAAGATGAGGACGGATCACGCATGGGAATGCCGCGAGTGCTGTGATGTCAACTCTTGACTTAACTTAACTAACTTAACTTTATTTAAACTCCTAATCAAAAAAACATTGTGAGTTTTCAAGTACTGGTCAAAATCTATCTACACCTCTTGACCGTCATCCTAGGAAACAGGTTTCCTATTGGCGGCACATAAAATTATCATTTTTTCCAAGTTGCAGCACATCTAAAAAGCAAGGAACTAACAGTCTACATACCCGTGTGGGTTCCGGGGCCCTATTATAGGGAAAACAAGAATAGACCCACTGCCTACCCAAAAGCATGTCGTAAGAGTCAACTAATTGGGAGCTTCCTTTGAAGTCGGAGTGCATCTGCCTAAGAGGCAAGGAACCCACAGTCTGCATACAAATGAGTCAGGTCTGTAAAACGAATGCACACGCAACACTCAGGTTCTGGAACAGGACTGCAGTTCAGAAGTGGACGAGAAACCAGAGCTTTCCGACGGAGTTTACAGCTGGTGAACGCGAAGAAGAAGAAGAACAGTCTACACACACAATGTTTATGTTATCATTATTTATTGATACACTTTCATGTTTAAGATGCGATATCTCAGCCGTCAGTGGAGTATTTTTGTTTCCCACTTAGATTGGGGGGGGGGGGTGTTTGCTTGGAAAAAGACCTGTCACAAAGTTTAATCTTTGTGTGTGTTGAGCTTTCTAATCTCATTTAACATAAATGAGTCTTCTGTATCATTATTTCAGTTTTAACACATGCCAGTGAAAGTTTAAGAACCTCTAATGAGGTTGAGGCTGTCTGAGGTTGGATACTGAAACCTCCCCATGTGGATGTTAGGGGAAAGCGTAGACTCACTGCTCCAACAAAAGCATGTCGTGAAAGGATCGTGTTCTTCTTCTTCTTTATTACAGGGCTATTCAGGAATCTCCATACAAAGCTTTGGTTGGAGTGGTCATTGATGGAAGAGATCCAGAGCGGGTAGGACTTTGTACCTATGTTTTTGTAATTACGAACACGTGAAATATCGACCGTTTAACTGGGAATACTATTATCACTTATATATCATCACATTCTTAAGGACACCCACAAGAAACCCTAAGATGAACACTGATGAGAGAGGCCAAAGCTGCTGGACTGGATTACATTCGTAATATTCAACTGATTGCACAGGATAGAACAGAATGGAGAATAGATTGTGAGCCCTAAGATGAGGTACAAGGTGGAAGAGAAGAAGAAGAAGTGACATATAATGGTACAACAGGATAATGAATAAGTGAATGAATAATCACTTATGGTTTTGTAAGTAAGTCTTTCAGTTGTTTAAATCTCTTAGGTTCAAATACACACCAGGCAGAATCTCTTTATAATTGACGCAGGTCAACATAGTCTAAAATGGGGATCAGAATATGTCCTGGGAAGTAAAGATGTGCATCATGATATTGACCACATCATCCACTGAGTGCAGAGTGGTCTGTGAAACATGATTCTAGCATCATATGCCCGACATGCCACACTGACATGAAGAGTCCTTTACGTCCTAAAATCTTGATTCAGTTTTCTGTGAGCACCAATCAGGACCTGTTAATTTATTACTCACATTTTTTTTAGTAACCTCAAAGATTTCTCAAAAACTATAATTTTTGTGTATTTGATACACAAGTTAGTCACCATGGTGTAGTGGCCAGGTGCTTGCCTGCGGGCCTGAAGGTCCTGGGTTAAAATCTCCAGTGAGCCAGATTATTTTCAAAAATAAACTAGGCTTCCAGGCTGAACTAGCCTAAAATGGATAGCAGATAAAGTTCTGGAAGTAAAGGTGGTTGGCATGATTTTTATCACATCACCCACTGAGTGCCAATTGGTCTATAAAATAATAGGGTTAGCACTGTATACCTAGTACACCTAAGGGTGTGGAAAACAATCCACTACTGATAGACAGCATCTTGTCTCGGAAGCAGAAATATTTTGGTCATATCAAGCGTTGAAAAAAAAAATAATAGCAGAAGGCATGGTACCACGAAGGAGAGATAGGGGCCAACCAACATGAAGATGGGCACATGATATAAATGACCCCTTGAATATGAAATGTAAATACATGAGGCGGGAGAGTTAGTGAGATACCAGAGTTTCTTTCCGGCAGACCGTGATGACAGCGACATTCTGCAAAGGACCTGCTATGTGATGATGATAATGATGACTTTTATTTGATACACCGGATTTTCCACTACTTGTATGATTGCTTGTATCAATTGTAGCATTCACATGAAAAAAAATTGGATCAAAGTTTACTCTAATTTTGCTGCTGGTTACCTCTCTGAAGTCTGTGTGGTCCTCCACTGATCCACACAACCTGGTTTCCACCGACAGGCCAAACCTAGGATTTCTCTACATGTAGAGAGTATGTCTGCAGCACATGTTCAGTACTCCTGGATACCTGTCCACATATCCATTCATCCGTCCATAAAGGAGGGGGGGGGGGGGGGGGGGGGGGGTGTCAGCCATGTCCAACCTACTAAGAGCAGATTCAATTATAATTGTGGTCTGTTTTAATTGTTCCAAGTGTATTGGCTAAGATGTTTATTTGTGCCAAATTTGATGTCTTTGATAGTATTTGTGCCATTGTAAATGGCTAAACGTCTCTTTAAGTATGTTGTGATGTCCTTCTTTGCATGTCTGGGTCCTGAATATTATGCCTTCGGTTTGATGGGGAGTCATGCTTGCCCATCCAAGCTCATAATTTGAAATGTAATCATGGAATGTGTCCACACTGGCAAAGCTCTGACTCACATCTCCCTATGTAGCACAGGCCCTGAACCACCTCTCAGACACCAAGCCCTTTATAGACTTGCTTGTGACTGGTTGAAGCTACAGTTTTCACACGATTAGGTAGCCACACCAGCCCTCCTGAGTCATGGCTGATTGGATTGCAATGATTCTGTGCTTCCTTTATCAGCATTGATCTTACACGGGCAGCGTAAAAGGGTTACTTCACTTTCAAAAGCAGAGTTCCCTATGTGGATTTCAGAGCTCTGTTGTAGAGGAAAATAGAAGAAATTTCTAACAAGCAAATCGCAGGAGTCAACTAACTAGGAATGTTTCCTTCGAAGTCGGAGTGCATCTGCCTAAGAGGTGAACCAACAGTCTGCATATAAATAAAACCAGATCTGTAAAATGTGTGTACAGGCAAAGCTCAGATTCTATAACAAGATATAAGTCCAGAAATTGACAGTGAACCAGAACTTACAGCCAGCAAAGTAGTACAGGGCCATGTTCACTCTGTTAATTCAACTTGTATAAGTTGCCACAGCCATGTTTTTTATAAACCAATCGGCACATAATGGGTGATTTGGTCAACATCTTACTGGCAGTCTTTACTTCCCAGGACATTTCAGGCCTGCTGCCCATTTTAGGCTAGGTCAACCTGGAAGTCAGTCCACATACACTTTTTAAATCTGCACTGGTAAGATGCAAATCTAAGACCTTTGAGCCAGCATCTGGCTACTGCTGTATCACAGATTTAAGTAAAGTAAGTAAAGGTCCTTTTTCCACGCCTTTAGGCATATAGGGTTAGACCTATATTTCTAAAGACCAATCGGCATAAGATGGATGATGTTGTCAGAATCACGCCGACCATCTTTACTTCCTGGGACTGCACCTGGTACCCACTCAAGGCTGCGTCAACCTGGGAGTCAAGGTCATTTTTAAGAAGAAAAAAAAATCAGGCTCCGCAAGGATTCAAACCTACGACCGTCCAATTCGCACGTGAGCGTCTAGCCACAACACGACGGCGACTCCCTCTTTTGAAGTTTATACTATTTAAAATCATTATTTAAAATTTATTTTATTGCAGCATCCAGAATATTCTCGTTATCGTATAAGAAAGCAAACAGGCTTGACGAATCGCTGGCGGCTACCCCATTCCTTGTACAGTGACCTGCTAGGCACAGCTCAAGCCCTGAAAGCTGTAAATATGCCATTCAACCAGAACCTGGTGAGCACTCTCAGTCGCACGTACCCCAGTATGAATCCCATGCTGTTAACCTGCCAGGATTATAATGATATGAATGAGAAAAACTGGAGCCTACTAAAAAAATCCACAATACAAAAACGCACTACAGAGGATGAAGATCATGAAAACCCGATGCCTCCTGTATGACCAGTCTTTTAAATTTTACAAGCGGCACTATTCAGGATTTTAGATACATGAAGCAGAAAGAATGAACAAACGTTATTTTCACAGGGTCACAAATTGGGCAAGCAGGCCTGTTTTACATGTGATCTAGAGCTTTAAAAGTCCAAAATGTGCAAACCAAATGTAGTAGATGATCATCATAATAGTCAGATGCCTTCTGTGTGATCTGTTTATTTACTTATTTTAAAAGCTGCACTGTGTGGGATTTTAAACAGATAAATGTGAAAATCTGAGGCTAAATGTGAAAATCTGAGGCTAAATGTGAAAATCTGAGGCTAAATGTGAAAATCTGAGGCTAAATGTGAAAATCTGGGGCTAAATGTGAAAATCTGGGGCTAAAAATACATAAATTTAGAAATCAAATGCAGAGGGTGATGCTCATGAAAATCACCTGTGACCTATATGATCTGATAGTGATCAGAAAGTCACTTGTCTCAAATGTGGTCTATAATTTGTCAGTTTCAAATATAGCTAATACTACTTTCTAAAGTTGATTCATAAACGAAGTCTAATCTACTGTAGCCACAGCTTACTCTGTAAAATACCATCATCATCATCCTGTTGCAGTGGTTCGTCACACAGGGCTTGTAGTCTATTCTTTCGCTCTCTTCTATCCTGTGCAATTATTCCAATATCGTGGATGGAATCCAATCCAGCACCTGCAAGCTCTCTCATTTAGTTTCATCTTAGGGTTTCTATTAGACGTCCTTGTTTCCTCAGTCCATTTGTTTCCAATTCCAGTACCTGTTTTGTGTGATTCTCTATTCACTGCTTCTCAGGATGTGCCCAGTATATCACCTTTTTCTGTGTCTTTGAACTGTTGACTTTTGTAAAATAACAATAAAGATCAAATAATAATATGCATATTTTGTTTTCATTTGTATTAAGAGTGTATTAAAATTGCTCAGCTCTATAGATTAGAAATCATTAAATAGATTTCAGAATCCTCCATGTACCAGCGGTTGCTTTCCTGTAGGGGTAATTTTGAAAAAAAAAAAAAAAGTCTTTGAACAGTAGTATGAGAATCACACTCTTAAAGTGATGGGAGCCTCACCTTCTAATAATGCCAAAGGCAGCATTGGATTTGCATATCCAGTGCAGCTAACCTCTCTGATGTGGAATGGAGAAGACAAGACATTGTCATTAGTTATTTACAAGTTCGGACAATTAAAACGATTAGATCCATTTACTGGATTTCACGGAGGTCCCGTTGGGCGTTGGGAAATAAGACACACACTGCACCCCTAATAAGCAAGTTGTAAAAGTCAGCTAATTAACGGCGAATCCTTCAAAAGAGGGGTGCATCTGCCTGTTAGGTGAGGAACCAACAGTCTGTAAATAAGTCAGATGTGCATGCAAAACTCAAGTTCTGAAACAAAACCACCAAAGTCCAGAAGTGAACCATAACTTTTCAGCCAGTAATAATGAAGAAGAAAAAGAAAACTAGTGAGTGGTTTTCAGGGACAAAAGCGAACAGGCCAACTTACTTCAGTATGTGTTTGCCAAGAGTATGTGATGGCCTGAAACTTCTAAAACCAATGGTCATGTATATCATAGAACTACACTGAGAGAATTTGCATCTTCTCCCTTCTTTTCAAAAATATTTGTCAAACGTTTTTTTCCCCCTCAAATCCATGCTGTGTTGCGTTGGCATCATATCTATCGCTAACCTTCTGTATCGTATATTTTCAATCAATCATGACACAGATGATCCTCCATGCCATGATGTCAGACTGTCCAGCATCTTTTCTCTCGGTCTCCCTCTGCCTATCATCCTCCCCTCCAACTGTCCTACCATCATGATATACTCCAATTTTCTCCGTCTCATCACATCACCAAAAAAATATAGATTTTCTCTTTCTGATGTGGGCAATCAATTCTTTTTGTGAGTCAGTTCCTTTTTAAACATCCTCATTACTCTTTCTAGCAACATGTTTATTCTGTTAAAAATATTTTAACTCTTTCAGTCCCAAGAGACACAAGAGGTGCCTGTTGCAATTTCCTGAAAATTCTAGTCCCTGCATCATTCTTCTTCTAATATTTGGTCACAATGCGCTAAGAAAATCTGGTATTGTTCATAGGTCACTTCATTGTCTATTTGGCTCTAGAAACAAATTGTAACTAATTTTTTTATAGTAATCACTTCTTTTTCTGTCCTTGGGATCTCACAACAAACCGTCTTGTACTGATATCCACTTGTAGTCAAGTGGTTAGTAAACAGCATCTTGTCTCAGAAACAAAGTTTTTTTTGGGCCATATCAAGCACCATAGTAGATTGGAAAGAATAGTAACAGAAGACAAGATGCCAGGAAAGAGGGGCAGGGACTGACCAGTGCAAAAATGGGCACATCGTAATGAGTGATATCCTGGGCAGGAAAGTGTATGAGGTGGGAGATCTGGTGAGAAACAGTTTCTTTCAGGCAGACTGTGGTGTCAGTGACATTCTTCAAAGGACCTGCTACATGAGGATGAAACAAGAAATTCATAAAAATGCTTATAAGATGAGAGACCTGGTGACAACCAGCAACAAAACCATCCGAGACAGCGTGAAAAAATGATCCTGTGGGGACACACTGCACCAGATTCATCAAGAAGCTAAAGATCAAATGGTTTGGTTGTCTCGTTAGAATGCAGCCATAAAAACTACAAACACAGATGCTATAATATAAAAAATCTCATGTGAAAGCAAGAATCGCCCTCTTTTCTAGAAAATGAGCCGACAACATTAAAGACATTATATATTTATACAGACAGGCAATAGCCACCACTTCCCATCTGCAAACTGTTCATCCTCAAGATGCTTATGAGGAAAAGTTGAAAACAAAAGAAATAACATAATACTAAACACACACAAAAACAAAACAAAAAAAAAAGGATTTTCAAGCAAAACAACAGTATATTTTATTCCAATATATTCTGTAATTCAAAGAAAACTGCCTTGTAAAAATGATTTACCAAACAAATAAAAGTCATGTAAAAAATGTAACAAACCAAACAGCAACATAACAACAAAAATGATACAAATTGCTGCCTTTCATCTGTGGCAGTTTTCAAAATCTGATAGTAAAATAAAAACATGAAACTGTGTACATATGTATATGTATTTACATCTTCATTATATGTTTTATACATAAAACATAAACATTTGAAGCCTTACACACAGAGGTTTCATGGCAAAGTGGTCAAGCCCTGTGCCCTGAAGGTCGTGGGTTCAGTTCTTGAGTGCAACTGTTAGGGCGATCGCTTGGGACCGTAGCCGGAGGTACAGAATTTGTGCTCTGTGTGGCCCTCTCGGCAGGTGGCTAGTCGTTCCACAGACAGAGACCGAGCCATATGGGATAAAACCCAGTGCAAAGAAGCTGACCCTCTCAACTTTAACCTTAACACAGAGGCCATGCACCTACAATCCATCCCATTTTACTGTAATGTAAGAAAAAAACTTTCTGTCGTGAATAATAATGGTGGTTAATCACTGAAAAGTGGAACCAGTGGAATGACCAGGTTGTTCATCTTTTTCTGGATTTTGGCTTTGTTCCAGGAGCACCCTCCCAATAATTGTGTTTGGGGACTACCCCCCCCCCCCCCCCCCCGCCCCCCCCTGTATAGAAATTCTTTTCAAAAAATGTTTGCTTCATATTATTTCTAGTAGTTATTTATCATGATTTTCCTTTCAGTGCATTAAAAATATTAAAAATGTGCTGAACTGCAAAATAAATATAATAATATAATCAAAATAATATTAAATCTACAAAATTATTCTATAAAAGACAATTTCAATGCATGACATAGGGAGATATCCTACCACCTTATATTTTGGGGGTAAGGGGGAACCCACAACTCAGCCTCCCCCCCCCCCCCCCCCCCCCAGCCAATTTTGTTTTGAGTGACTTACCAATGGACCTACCGTAGGTGCAGCAGCTATATGCCCCTCTGAGGATCAGGTTGTGGGTTCTAATCTGACCGGTGCTGGACTTTTTTTTTAAAATGACCTTGGCTCCTAGGCCGACCAAGCCTTAAATGGGCACCAATTAAAGTTGCAGGAAGTTAGGGCGGCTGGCATGATGCTGACCACATCACTGACCAACTGCTGATTGGTCTATAAACACAGGTCTAGCCCTCTACACCTGAAGTTGCCGAAAAGAGTCCTTTACTTTACACTCAAGGACCTGAGGCACCTTCCCACCCAATTATTTGCCTAGAAAACTTGTAAGATGGAGGGAGGGGGTGTGAGCCACCTGTGCTGGTCAACCCCTGCCTGTTCTCCCAGGCACCATACTATTTACTTGTCAGCATTTCAGTATCATTAAGACAATGAATATAAACACAATAATACTATAGGACTAAAGTAGTACAATGGCACATAGCAGTTAAACACATTAGAAGTAAATAAACACTGCAACATGCATACTTTTACAGCTGCATATTTTCAAGTAACGAATAAAAAAACTGGCAATAACAATTATCTTCAAATTAAAACAGTAGAATCACGGCAATCAAATAACAGGCGGATGAACAGAAATACAGTAAAACCTCGTTAACATGACTTAACTCTTTCAGTCCCAAGCAACTCACCATATGTTTATCAGTCTCTGATAATATACTTCAATTTATATAACTCCTTATACCAGTTTGTACACCAACTCATTCTGTACCTATGGTTACTTTAACCCTTTCAGTCACATAGGGTTTGTTTTAAATTACTTCAAGTAGAAATATTTATTAGTTAAAATGAACATTTCTTGTGACATAATCAATTAAAAAACAAGTGCCTGGGACTGAAAGAGTTAACAAAGGACTGAAAATCTAGTCTCTGATAAAAGAAATTTGTGCTAACTAAGCTGTAATAACAATAATACATCCCTCCTTGGATGTTCATCTTGAACCAGTGTTCTTAAGCAAGTTTGTGTTAACAGTTTTTTACTGTACTATCTTAACAATCATTGCGTCAGAATATTATATCCACA